TCCATTGGCTTGTATTGTAATCCAACAAGCCATTCATATTGCTGACAAAAACAGAGGATTAAATTGAATTATCCACAGGAAGTCTTGACAACAAATAATGAAATGTTGACCTTGAGAGTCCCATAAAGATATGTGTGTGTGTGTGTATGAGAGAGAGAGAGAGAGTGAGAGAGTGGTTTGCATAATGGATTTCATAGCATAAGATGGAAAAAAGAATATTTATAATATCAGCATAATAAAGAAAGAATATAAAAATTGAATAAAGTATTTCATCTATGTAAATCATATGCAGAAAAAATTACATAGATTGCAATTATACTAAATTTAATATGTAATCTCTAAGGACTCGCTCAGAAAAAACTTTGTTCTCTAATAAGATACTTAGACATCTCCATAAGTACCTACTTGAATTTGAAAATTTAGTAGTATACATGTCATATTGAGATTCAAAAATAGCTCAAAACATTTTCCTCACAGCCAAACACACCCATTACCAGCATTGGCCCCGTAGCAGTTGCATTTGCCCAGTCAAATTCTGATAGAACATCAAAAGCATGTAACTTCCAGTCCAATGTCTGTGTTACAACAACACTTGACATACAAACATTGCCATGAACCTGTACCATCCAAAGCTAGTGAAAAGAATGATCTTGAAAGGCATAAGAGTGGTTTAAAACAAAAGAAATCACAATATTGTATTCAATGACAATATATTCTATTTAAAGCAGTGCAATTTCCCTAAGATATGAACTGCTAATCTCAAGTACAAAAAAAGAACATGTGTCGGCGTGTCTAAAAGTGTTTAGAAGTTCAATGGACAATGATCTGAATTGCAAAAGCTTGAAATACTCACAAGTTTGCAATCGTTATTTAAAAAGCTAACAGCTTTAGCAACTTGGTGCAGCCCCCAAGCATAATACTCATCCCTACCAGCAAAAGAAATCAAATCTAAAATTATTCTTTAAACAACAAATAATGTTGGCAAGTTTCTACGTATGATGGCATCAAATGGGGAAAATAAACTTTCAAATAAGAGCATATTTTAATTCAAGTCTCAGAAACTAAAATGTACATCCTTTCTAGGAATAAGAACTAGCAAAATAGTAAATACAAGCAGGGGATTTAACAAAGTTAAGGGGCTATACCTTTGTGTACCTTCTAAACCGAGTTCCTTGATCTTCTCTGACAATGGCATAACAAGCTCCGTGACAATATAGATTGTAACTTTTGGACTAGGAGCATCAAAAGATTCAACCTCAGTACTATGAAGAAATGACAATATATTTGGATGCCTCACCTGTGAAAAGAAGCTGAAATCTCATACCAAGGTCCAGAAACCAAGAACTATACAAACAAAACTAAGACCAATAACAAGTTAAAGTCTAATCTTTCCGGATCAGGAAAACGGGAATTGAGGTGTTCATGAAACATTATAGGAATCAATAATATTATAATAATCCAATTTTAGACATTGGGTAATTCTAGCAAAAGCTGCAACAACACGTAGAAAGAAAATCGGGATTTAAAAGGAAGGAATAAGGTGAATTGGTTACAGTTCGAAGACGCTTGACACCATTTCGACCAGCAGCTAAATGGCCGTCCTGAGGATTAGTTCCGGTAAGAGAAAAGATAGAGACCGCTGATCCATCATCCTGAAACATTAAAGAAGAAAAGAGATAGAATTGAAGGTTTACGAGTGTTTGAGGAAGAGATTAGAAAGGTTAAAACTGCGGGAAAGATGTACCTTGGAGGTGCCACGAAAGTGAGACCAAGAGCCCCAAGCGGAAGGGTAAGGATCTCCAATGTTGTAAGGTAGATCCTTGAGCCCGGTTCCAGATCCGGCTACCACTCCTTTCAAGAATTTCAACATCTTGTTTCTTCGATGATCTGTGAAGAGATACAGAACAAGGAGGAGCAGAAGCAGGAGGGGGTTCCAACTTCCGATTCGATTTGATCTGCCAAAATTTCTTTTTATTATTATTATTGTTGTTGTTTTTAAAAGTAAAAACTTATTATATATTATTCAATATTAATAGGGCAAACTATGTGTATTATGATTCACCTATTTTCGTGATTCTGTTTCGATCACATAATAATAATTATTATTATTAAATTATATTTATAGTTACGTTTTAATTTTGTTTAAATCATTTGAATTTAAAAAATAAACAGAATTATTAACATGATTATTTTTTATTTTTTCAATGATAATGTGATATTATCTTATGATGACACACTAACATCATTATTAATCTATTAACGACGAATAATCAAAATGAAATTAAAACTTTTAAAATAAATGCTCGAGATTTATCTTCTATGTTACTCTTTGAAACCACAAATTATTTTTTGCTTTTTTATATAATAAGATTTCCCCAAACGAAGGAATAATACTCACTTTGTTGATCTTCTTTTAATTAGTTCTCCAAACTTGCCGTAATGTATACATCTATCTTATAGTTTTTTTTAAATCTTTTTAAAAAAATAAATCATGAATTGGTGTTATCTTTAAGTATCTAAAGAATCAATTAACAATCTCTATATATTCTTCACATAATTCATTCATATATTGATTGATAAGATATATCGAGAATGTAATATATGATCTTATGTATGATGGATATATCAATTTACCTATTAGTCTCTTATATTGTCGTTTGTGAATATGTATTCCTCTTCATTTTTCTTCAGTCTTAGGTTAGAATTCACAAGTTTTTATGCTAGTTTATACCCAATTATGTCCATCTCAAGTAGCAAATTTAATATATATTTTCTTTAAAATATTATAATTCTTACATTAGATCGTGTAATCTGAGACCTTGTTGTCTTTGATTTTTAACTCATAAATAATAAAATGATTTCTTCTGATTTATCTTCTGTTATAACCATCAACATAGACAGTAATAATAGTTATTTTACCTTTTAATGAAAGTTTTACAAATAAGGTGTAATCTGCTTGACATTGATTGTATTTGCATGTGATTACTATTTTGGCAAACCTATCAAATCAGGCACGAGATCAATTTACCTATCAAAAGAAGACAGAGAATTAGACTTACGACGAGTGAACTTATCCATGTAGAGGAGAATTCACTTTGAGCAAGTAGGGTCACCACACATCTCAACGAGTGAACATTTTTTTTAATAAAAATAGATTGCAATTTAATTTTGAGCATAAAGAACAGATGAGAGAAGAATGGTCTGTTTCAATTTAGTAGATCTGATTTCTGCTACTTTTGAGAGTGATCCATCTGTTATTTAGACCGTATAAAGGCTTGATTGAGGTTTAATAGATCTGATTTCTTCTACTTTCGAGTATAAAGGCTTGATTTCTTCTACCCAAGTAGCTCCTGCAGTACTTCAATTTTCTTCTCAAGAATGAATTGTATTTGGTGCTGGTGTTTGAAGCATTAGCCACGTCTGCATGGTTGCCCCTGACTTGGCATGCTTCGGTTGGGTCTCCAATCAACAGGACATAAACCAAAATCCTAAGACTACTAGGTTCCTTGTTTCCTAATACTTTTAACTGTAAGAAAGAATTTGTCAAAAAAAATTGTAAGAAAGTTGTAATTAAAATAAAATTTATCCTTAAAAACCAGAAGAAAAAAAATCCTAATAAAACCTTAAATGAAAGCACAATCCAAGTACAAATTCAGTTGTTTAAATTACTTGTTCAAAAAGCACAGCCACCCCAGGGCTAATTTACAACAATAGTTGAATGCTTCAGAATATATTCACAGCCTTAACCATAAACAACACAAGTCTTTCGTGCATTCAATTCAACCATGAAATTTTCAAAGGAAGTAGCTGAGATTCTTACAAGCAATTCTCAGCAATGTAAACAACATTGTCTTCGTCTGTCCCTTCTGCTCAGCATCGAGAGTGTGATGTATATGGCACACGTTAGATGCCTATTTGGAAAATAACACCTTTCAGTGCATTGCATTGATAGAAAGATTCATCATCTTTGGATTTGTCACTTCCATAACCTTCCACTGTTGTACTTTTGTCCCCTTTACATACTTTTCTTTTTCTTACTTCACTGCCCCATTCTCTAGGCTACCTTTTGTCCACATTTGGGCTCCAAAATTCTGCAGTCCTGTTCTAATTTCAGCACTCTACATTCTCACCACTCAAAAAGTTAATTGCATATGAAGACCTTAAATTATAAAGCAATAATGTAAAAAAGAATATTTCTATTATTTGATTACATAAACACTTTAAACACTTATTTTTTAGAGCACGTTGGAATTTAACATTTTATTTTAGGATAAACGGACCCTTGATTGAATCTTAATCATTAATTGATTATCAGTCAACACTCTTCCCTGACGTGGCAAGACCTATGTGCATGCTACATCATCACTTTAAACATGTAGAATGTGCCACATCATCACTTTAGACATATAGTACATGTCATGTCATCACTCATGTAGACGTGGCATGTGCCGTATTATCACTTTAGATACATGTCGTGTGTCATGTTATCTCTCATGTACACCTAACATGTGTCATATCATCACTTTGTATAATTGACACATGTTACATCATAACTCATGTACACGTGTTATATATCACGTCATTACTTTGGATATATATCTTACTACGTCAGCAAAGAGCATTGACAATTAATCAATTGATAGTTTTCGTCTAATCAATGATCATTTTGCTCAAAATGATATATTAAGGATCAAAATATTCTTAAAAAAGGAGCTAAATTCACTATTTGATAAAATGTTAAAGATATTTTTATAATTATGCCAAATAAACTTCTGCTATTTTCCACAATAAGTTTGAAAGTTCATATTTGTCAGGGGAGAGGGGACCCATGCAGTAGATATATAATTGTGTGTACATATAATGCACACAAACATGAGTCAAGTCAAGTTTCTGCCATCTTTCCTGGAAATATACCATGCAATTGCTTGGCATAAATTATTGATGATTACGATGGTTATTATTACTCCAAAGGAAAATACATTTCCACACCTAGATAAAACCTCAGTGGTTCTTATTGTTCCACATTGCCTATTACAACTGTTGCAGCTAAAGTTAATATTAAGCTTTACAAGCAGCTAGACATAGACTAGAGCAACTCACTTTCATCAAACTGAAAATCGTCTTCAAACTCAACAGGCTTCATTACAAGGTCCAATTCTAAGTTCTGGGAAGTGATTTCAGTGCTTGAATACACGTTAGACACCACATCATCATAATTGGCTCCGATTATATCCTTCCACATGATAACAGAACCCAAGTCCGTAAGACCGCTTGTTGTCGGCGTCGTCGGCGTTGTCACCGTCGTCTCTTCCTTGGCTTCCTGCTTCATGGTTGTAGTGTTCGATGGGATATCGGAATTGACAAAAGTGACCATCTTGAAAGATTGCCAGGATTCCGAATCACTGATGATTTGGGGAGCCTTGAATGAGTCTGGTCTGCATGTATGGGTTCCGATGTAAGTGATCTGATACATTTGGGAATCATCGTCCATTCTTTGGACTTGTTTAGTGGCCCGGCAACCTTGATCGTATTTACGAGTGCACCTAAAGTAACCCCTGTTCCATGATAATTTGGACCGCTTAAATAGCTTCCTTTTACAGGAATCATTTTTGGAAGGAATTGCAAAAAATGAATACCTTGGGTGTTCAGAATTCAAAATCTGCTTTTGTCCATATTTCCTCCACGCATGACCGTCTTCAACAGTTGCAGAAGCTACTGTCCATGTCTGTTCAGCTTTCCTGCAACCAAAACACACCCCATTAAACATTTCGTACAATCTACGTATGAACATCCAATATTTAACATGTTTTTTTAATACCTTCGCTTATAACAGCCTCTCTTTTCCTTGGAGACAGGTCTCTTCTTACAACAAGGGGAATCATAGTAGGAAGTTGCTTGATTCTGAGAAACCTCGACAGATTCATCACTAGACAGCAACGGGATCGCGTGATCGAAAGATGTGAAGATCTTGTGCACGAGCTCCTGAGCCGAGAGACGCCCACTCTTTTCAGAGGAATTGTGGAAAAGAATCTGAAGCTGGGTAGCACAGCCTTTACCAGTAACAAGTTCTTCTATTACCCTTTTCTTATTGCGCGACACACTTCCCATAATTGTCGCCCGTTCTGCTTTGCTTACACTTGTAGATACATATATAAAGAAGAAGAAGAAGCAGAGATAATATTTTAAAGACAGGAAAAGATAGAGAAGAGGAAGGGGAGAAGCAAAGTAAAGGAAATTGTAAGGAAAGGGGAGTGAAGTGGGAAAGGTAAGATGGAAAATTCTAAACGTGTCTTTCTCATTAATGATGACAAAAGCAAGCTGACGTTTGTACATCCTAGATTAGAACTTGGATACAACGATATCATTTGGTCTTTAACATAATTTGGCCTGCATTAGACAGTGTGGATAACATTAATCAAAGGAAAAAAAGAAAGAGAAATTGATAAATTTAAAAACAAATTAAGGTCACACAAACTCAAATCATACACAGCTGAATTGATTTGGGTGGAAGTCAATGGACTACTGAGCCACCTTCCATGAGTTTTCCTTTGTTTCTAGAACTAGGCATCATTTCTTCTATTTTCTTTTGAAGTTAGAAAGGGATAGGTCAAATTTTGGTTATGTCCCACTATGTTAAAATTGAGATTCTAATATAATTTGATATATTTGTTTTTATAATATTATTAATTAGTTTAAATTATTAGCACATTTAATTATTTTAGATAAAATAATGATATAAACATTTTATATCGAACGCATCCATCTTGTTTGAATTAAAACAATTACACAATACGTTAGTAATACTAATCAACATATCAAAAAAGCAAAAGCTACATACACCAAATTAATTTGTAATGGTACAGTAAAGACTGCAAGTAATGATCAAGGACACATGAAAAGGGGGGGAACAATATTAAGAACTTTGGCTAATTTTTTTTAGATTTCATAATTTTTAAATGAACTTCATATAAAGAAAAATAATAAAATAAAGATCATTAATAAAAATGAATGAGAGTTTAATTTATTTTTTAAAGATTTACCATGAGAGTAAAGGTTTTAACCTACAACCTAGGAAAACTTAAATTGCTCTTAATAAAAAATAATAATAAAAATCATAATTTTATTCTTAATAAGTATTGAACCCACAACTTAAAAAAAATAAAGATAGCAATTAAGAGTTATTAACCGGTTGCTCGTTTCCTCTAAAAATTATCAATGAAAACCTAAATTTAAAAAAAAAATCTATTCAATTTTCAATTGTATATAATAATGTATTATTTAGTTTTTAAAAATAACTAAAAACATTGTTAATAATGCATTATTTGTTTAAATTTGTTTGGTCTTTTACAATATAACCATACAATAAAATAAGTTTTTAGTGTTAGTTTTTGCAGCGTTTTCCGAGTTAACACTTGCTTTACTCGGATGTACCATTTACCTCTTCTCGTCTCGTCCCGTCTCGTCTCCGAGACATTGTGTTGGGTTACTGTTAATAAAACCAGGATTTCTGGAAATTTGTTGTTTAAGTGGAACTTTGGCTGTTGTTTGTGATTTTGGTTAGAGTTTGCTACCACTCTGGAAAAGTTTCAGAAAGAAAGAGAAATCAAATTCAGAGCAGCAACAAAGCGCGCTCATCGTCGTCTACAATGGGATCAAAGAAGCGGAAGCTCTCTCTAGAAGGCTACATCGATTTCCCTTCCTCTCACAAACAACCCCTCTCGCCGACAATTCCCTCAACCAGGTCCATCAATTCTTCTCTCATTCCAACTTTTCAATTTCCTTTCATTCCTTTTCTTATTGTTCATCATCTGATTTGTTTTCTGGTTATTTCATTTTCTCCATTCACGGTTTTAAGAAACTCAAAGTAGCTAAGGTAATCGACTCTGTTTCTGTTTCTCCATTTGATTAGTCCATCTTTAGTTTTAGTGAGCTTATTATATTGCGCGAACAACTGAGTAGAAAGAGTTGAGTGATGCGGTGGAAGAGTTGAGTGATGCGGTGGAGAAGCTGAGCCGGCATTTCGTCGAACGCCTGACTGACTCAAAAGGAGGTGATCGGAGACCTCTATCGTCTGGATTGGAAAGAGTGTTGCGTTACCGCAATTGAAACCCTAAACTCTTCGTTTCCTGAGGAACGATCCAATTTCATCCCCAGGCGGGAGAAGCTCTGATTTCTGAACAAGAAAGCCGAACATCTGTTTATCTTGCGGGGACTTATTTGATTTTGTGCTTGATTTCACTCATTTTGATTTCTTCTTCAAAAGTAATAAAATGGGGTGTTAAACTGCATGGAAAGACTCAAACATTGACTCTTCCATATTCGAGTAGATTTTAGAATAGCTAAGACATTTAGTTGGACTACGTACGAAGGCTTCTTCCATTTTGTGCTTGATAAATGAATGAAGAAATGAGGAGTTCCAATGCATAACCCTTTTGATTAAAAATTTTATGTATGTATTAGTATGATATTGATCAAATCTCTTTATTAGCTTGAGTGTTACATGTCAAAGTCAAATATAATTATTATAAAGATAAATGAGATTTAACTTGTTTTAATAAAATATTCTAAATTTTATTATTACGGGATTTGAACTTTGGTTCTAAGGCGCCAATAAGGGAGTACACATTTATGACGTTTTGAGACTAAACGTTACTACAAGGCATTCGTTAAGAAAAATCACTATATATATATAATCAATAATGACGTTCCTGGTCAAAAATGTCACTACATATCATAGCATGGCTATAGCGGCCTTTGAGAGAATAAACATCATTAAAGACAAATTAATTCACGATGTTAGAAAGCAAACACCACTACATATCACAATAATTAGTTGTGTTTGTTTCAAAAATACTGCTATATAATTTGACCTTTTGTGACATTTAATGTTCACAGTTGTCAGTAATTGTTGAGACGTTTACTTTAAGGGTGCTTCTTGTCGTGCTCTTACTAACATCAGGAAGTTTTTTAGCGACACTTAAAAATATCGCCAAGACTAAAAAGCATCGCGAAAACCTATTTTACTGTAGTGAAAGATTCTTTAGGTCAAGCCTAGCGTAATATATGATGAAACCAAATGGACAGTTCCTAGACTCTTTTGATGACATGGCGACTGAGTTAGTGAACTTCTTCACTAATCTCATTGGTATTGCAAACCCAATGATCAAATGTCCTCCTATGGAGTGCCTGAGAGACTTACTGAATTTTTCTCTACCTATTGACGCTGGAGTTATGCTTATTAAGGAGGTGGAGGATGAGGAAATTAAAGAAGCCTTGTTTAGATAAGGCTTTGATGCTGGAGCTATGCTTATTAAGGAGGTGGAGGATGAGGAAATTAAATAAGCCTTGTTTAGACAAGGCAATGGTAAAAGCCCAGGCCCTGATGGGTATTCTTCTTGGTTTTTCAAGGCTGCTTGGGATGTGGTGGGCTGTGATTTCCTTGCTGCAGCCATGTTCTTTTTTATCTCCTCCTACATGTTGCCTACTTTTAATTCTACTACTATTGTCTTAGTTCCTAAGGCACTAAATGCTTGCATGGCAAAGGATTTCAGACCCATTTCTTGTTGTACTATAGTGTACAAAACTATCACTAGAATCATCACTACTAGACTATCTCACATCTTTTCTAGTATAATCTCCCCTAGTCAGACTGCTTTTGTAAAGGGAAGAAATATTGTTGATAATACCTTACTAGCTCAGGATATTGTTAAAGGCTATTCTATGAAAAGTCTTTCTCCTAGATGTGCCATTAAGATTGATCTACAAAAAGCTTTTGACTCTGTGAATTGGGACTTTCTGATGGTTGTACTAGAGGCTGTAGGTCTTCCTGTGAAGTAATGTAGTTGGATAAGGGCATGTGTTACTTCATCTCAATTTTCTGTTTCTTTGAATGGTAGCCTTGTGGGTTATTTTAGGGGTGCTAGAGGAGTTAGGCAGGGGGACCCATTGTCCCCTTACCTCTTTGTCTTGGTTATGAATGTTCTTTATTCCTTGCTGGATGTCTCTGCAAAAAGGGGAATCTTTAGGTAACACCCTAAGTGTAAGAGAATTTCACTTACACACATTTGCTTTGCTGATGATCTATTGGTGTTCTGTCATGGTTCCATGGATGTTGTGATGGGTGTTTTGAGTACCCTGGAGGGTTTTTATAAGTTCTCCGGTCTTAGGCTTAATGCCCAGAAAACTAAACTCTATGCTTGTGGCTTATCTGACTCTGTCCTTCAGCTAATCTAATTTGGTACGGGATTTAGGGTTAGTATACTCCCTGCTAAATACCTTGGGGTACCTTTGGTGACCAGAAAGCTCACTAGCAAGGATTGCTTTGCTTTGGTGACTAAGATTAAAGAGAAGCTTTGTAAGTGGTATAATAGAAAGCTAAGTTTTGGGGGCAGGCTACAACTCATCAAATCTGTCCTGTTCAGCATCTTCAGCTACTAGAGTAGGCAACTCATTCTGCCTAAAGGGGTCATTAGTGATGTTGAGAGACTTTGCATGAGGTTCTTTTGGAAAGGCTGTGATTCCCCAGCTAAAGGAGCCCGAGTTAGCTGGAACCAGATCTGTTGTCTGAAATCTGAGGGAGGCTTGGGGTTGAGGTGTCTGGTTGATTGGAGTAAAGCTCGTTGTCTTCTACTTATCAAGAAAATCTTGGCAGGTGAAGGTTCTCTTTGGATCGCTTGGTTAAATGCTTACTGTTTCAGGATTGACGATTTCTGGAATGCCGATTGTAAGTCTCATTTTAGCTGGATCATAGTAAAGCTGTTCAAAATGAGGAGTGAGGCTGTGAGACTATTCTGTTCCAGTAGTAACTGGGATCAAATTAGAGCCAGCTGGTTATGGGATAAGGTTCGAAGCAGGAGTGAGAAGGTTCCCTGGCATCGCCTTGTGTGGTTTCCTGGCCACATTCCAAAATTTTCGCTGATCTCTTGGATGGCAATCTTGGATAGATTGCCTACTAAGGACAAGTTAGCCAGGTTTGGTATTGTTACAGACAGTGTTTGTAGACTGTGTAGCTCTGGTCTTGAGTCTCAAAGTCATCTCTTCTATGAATGCTCTTATGCAAGTGAAGCTTGGTGTGCTATCTTGCTACTATGTGGACTTAACCAGGTACCTACTGGTTGGAACGATCTTCTGCACTGGTTATTGCTGAACCTGAAAGGTAAATCATTGTTGGTGCATATCCTCAAGTTGGCTTGGTCTGGCTTTATCTATTGCATTTGGGAGGAACGGAATCGTAGACACTTTAGAGGGGTGCATTTCTCGGTTGGCACAGTTGTTGGTAGCGTTAAAGAATCAGTGAGAATTAAATTGTATAGGAGTTCTATGAATAGTCTAGATACTGTAAATAGGTAATTGTGTATAGATTGGGGACTGATATAATGCCTTGATTTATGTTTGTAGCAGCTTGGCTGCATTCTTTTGGATGAATAGAATTCTACTTATCCAAATATATATATATATATGAAGAAACCATTCTCTTTACTAATCGGATTAAAATGGCACGATTTCTCTAGAGTAAACTTTGATTCCATTTGCAAAAAATAAATTATAAATTTCAAATTAAATAAACTGAGTCAATTGATTTTTCAAATCGATATTTGTTTATGTTTTAGATTTAAATCAAGTTAGATTTTATAATTTAAATAATTCAAATAAATAAATTTCTACAAATATCATTTAGATTCTTGATAATTTAAAAATATATAAATTGATCTCTCTTAGCAGAAATTACAAGAACATACAAAATCATCATTTAAAAAAAGTATTTTATATTATATATATACACATAAACAAAATATATGTAATTTTGAAAATTCTTATATTATTTATTTTTAATATCATTAGTTTTATTTTATAATTTTTTAAACTCATAAAATTTTAATAGCCTAATTAAAAATATTATTTGTTTAAATAAAATAATCACACATTTAAAAAATGCTAGCATTTTAAAAGCTTCAAAACTTTTTAAATGATCATCCAAAGACAAAAAGTAAAGGAAAAAACATTCTATTTTTTTAATTATATTATAAAATATTTGTCAATAGTCTAATGAAAGTAGTTAATATTGAGTTTCTCATATTATCTTCTCACGTTGAATACATTAATGTATGGAAAGAATAATTTTTATTTGTAGACATAAAAGAAGATATTTATGTATGGAAGATTTGATGGGAAAGATATTAAGTTGACCAATGAGCATCCAAATTGGCATTGGTTAAATAATAAAAGCACAGCTTTGATTACTAAAAGAAGGGAAGACAAATGCATTTAAAAAAAAACCTAATCTGAGTTGTAACATGAAAACTACACCTTACCAAAATATTCTCTATCGGTATTGCTCCACTTGACACATGATGGGTTGTTTATATATATATATATAATTACTGATTTCTTATTTATTAATCGATTAATTTGAATCAGGTATTACAGAAACAAGAACGACATTCCAAACTTAATTTACTCTATTTTACATATGATGGGTTGTTTTTAATTTACGAAAAACGAATGTTGAAGTTCACAATAATCTATAATTTGACTTTTGATTTAGTATTTAGAAATTGGGTGTCATTTACTCTTCTCCATCTTCAACTCCAAGCTTCAAGCCTTCAAGGGTGTTGACATGGTGAGATGGTTTTACTTTATATTTTTTACTGCATGATAGTAGGATGCCACTTGCTTTTAGTTTACTGATTTTGCCACTAAACATTGGTTGTAATATATTTTATATTAGATTTAATAAAATAAGATGCATTGAATGATGAAAGCAGGGTATTGTTGGCTTGCAATACCATAGCTAGTAACAAGCAAACAAATGGAATGAATTAAAAAAAATTTAGTCAACACCCGATATTGGTATAGTTAATAAATCATTCTATTTTTATATGATTATATTATTAAATTTTAATTTTATATACAATTATATTATTGAATTAACATGGATGATTGTTTTCATAAATAATATTTTTTAATATGAATATATATATATATACTCAAAATAACATCGCTTTTTTAGGATTATACCTTTGATTTGTGTATCAATTTTTTATTGAATTTTTTAATGTTTTAATTTTAAGCAGTTAAGTTTTCGACCATAGTTATTAGTCGTTATACGTTATTGATCGTTATTCGTGACAAGATTAATACCAAAATGTTAATATTTCACTCATATTTTTTCTTCTCAAATTAGTTTGCCACGAAACTCACATAAAACTGATAAAAATTCATCTCAAGTTTCAATGTGTAAATGCTCTGTCCTCCTCCATTGACCATACAATGATGTTAATTTTGTAGTATGTTATTCGTCTTCTTAAAATAATGTTTCTCATCATCCAGATTTTCAAATAAACACCACAAACTTCTCAAATTCGAAGAAAACCTTCAAACCCAAAGATTGATGGACTTTTTTTTGTTTAATTTCATGAATTTAAAAAAATGGAAAATTTTAAACCAATAAAGTGGTAAACGATAATGAGACTTGATATCTAGGGTGATCGTAAAAAATACCAGAAAGTGATAAATTTTTACAACAAATTTGATGAAAAATATTATAAAACGAAATAAAAAATTATTCTTTTACTTTTACATCAATATCGCACTACTGTATCATTCTATTATTAATTATGTGTAAATAAAATTTAGTGTTATAATATCAATTCATGGTCTAATAACAAATTGGATGTAAAAATTAAAGTAGTATATGGTACAATTCAAAGCTTACCTTTTTTAGTACATTTCATACCCATCGGATCATTGTCAGCCGTTTGATACTTTATGATTATGATTTACGATGAACCTGGCTACACGGTAGTACATCTTGTTTAAAACTTCTAATGATGATTAGATGAAGCGAAGATCATTACCCTTCCCGACTATCCCAACTATAAAAACAAGAACCAGCAAGAGGGTGTCTTGAGTTTCCAAATCAAACTGATTTTCCCTTGACCAGCAAAGCAAAAGGAAAAAAAAGAAAAAAAAAGGTTCTGGAGATAAAAACCATGGGAGAAGAGGTGTCGATGATGAGTATAGCAGAAAAGGAAACATCAGCAGACATGAAAAGAACACACTTTGTGTTGGTTCATGGTATTGGTGGAGGAGCGTGGTGCTGGTACAAAATCAGGTGTCTCATGGAGAACTGTGGGTACAAGGTTTCATGCATCGATCTCAAAGGTGCCGGCATCGATGGAGCCGATGCCGGTTCTATTCTGTCTTTTGATGATTATAACCAGCCTCTCATGGACTTCATGTCTGCCTTGCCTGATACTGAAAAGGTTATTATTTTTAAAGAATCTTCACCTGTTTCCATATTGTTCATATATGATAATTGGCCGAAACACTCAGCAGAGCCCTCATCTTATAATTTGCAGGTGATATTGGTAGGTCATAGTGCTGGAGGGTTAAGTGTAACGCAAGCCACTCACAAATACCCCAACAAAATCCGTCTGGCGGTTTATGTTGTGGCCACCATGCTGAAATGTGGCTTCTTGACTGATGAAGATGTCAAAGATGTAAACACTTCTCTAACCTGGTTGTCCTGTTAAATTGTTCTCTGTTGAATTCTGGGTTTTGTTTTTTACTTGTTCTCTTTTGGTTAACCTGGTATGCTTGTTCTCTTTTGGTTAACCTGGTATGCACCCTTGGTGTTTTGAATTATTAGTGGTAAATTGGAAGAGATGGTTCATGTGGCCAAGTACCACCTGTTTTCATGAAGGCTTGGCTGTCAGCCATTTCATTATTCCCACGTTTTAATCTATTATATTTTATATGGTATATATAGGAATCCAAAACTTTACAGACGTTACTCACATTTCACTGTCCGTTACTTTTTTCAGTAACCGAAGGAGGTTCACAGCTAGCAAATATGACATACCAGTATACAGATACCTGTATGTATATCTGGTTGATCGGTAAATAATCCCAAATTATCTATTTATTCCTCTTTTGAGCCACCTATTTTGAACCGCAAAAAGCAAGAGGCACAAGCAGGGAATTTCAAGGACAGAAGAAGCATCAATAGTACACAAACGCACACCCCTTCTTTTGGCATGCATGGGAACCAAAATGCCCTTGCTTGCCGCTTCCGAGAAAAAGACCAAGGCCAAGCCTAATCTGCTTTCTGATCCTTTCCCTCAATATGATTCTATTATTCTTTTAGCTTAAAACCTATAGAATCTATTCCCTATCAGTTCCCCAAAACTCAAACTAGTTCTTCATTGGTTTTAACTCAGAAAGGCAAGGTTATACCAAAACCATGGATATTATTGCTTGAAATGCATGCAGTTGTTTGATGAAGCAGTAAATACTAGCTACATGCATTTACTTCAAAAAAAAATTTACCTTCACTGGTCAACTGTTGTTAACCTCCACCTCCAATGACTGAGATAATGAATATGTGATTTGGTGTTAAATTAAATCATGACCAGTTTGTTAGTTATTTAGTTAAAAAGTTTGATGATTATCCTGGAGAAAGGAGAAAAGAAAAGGGTCAAGCAATTTTTAAATGTGAAACAGGGAATACCAGATTTATCCCAATTTGGTGATGTGTACGAGCTAGGATTTGGATTGGGAGCGGAGCAGCCTCCGACCAGTGCCATTGTTAGAAAGCAATTCCAACGTAAAATCATCTATCAAATGAGCCCGCTGGAGGTTACTGAGTTTGACACCACCTTTATTGCATTGGTCTCTTCTATGTTATGTATGGTAATGAGCATTTTATATGAATTAAATGATGCTGGCCGGCACAGGATTCGACTCTAGCGGAGATGCTTTTACGGCCGGGACCGATCCTAGCACTGAGGAGTGCTCGATTCAAAGAAGGCGAGTCGGTGGAGAAAGTGGGGCGTGTATACATTAGGACAATGCATGATAATGTTATAAAACCGGAGCAGCAGGAGGCAATGATAAAGAAATGGCCGCCATCTCAAGTGCATGCTTTGGATAGCGATCACAGTCCCTTTTTCTCTGCCCCCTTTTCACTCTTTGGCTTGCTCCTTAAAGTTGCAGCAACTTCGGGTGGATGTAACTAAGCTCATTCATGTGTTGCTATTTCTTAGAATGTGAACCCAATGAGTAAATCACAGAACCTTATGAACAAAGCTTGTTCATGTATGAATCATATGGATCAAAACAATGAAAATAAATGGATCACAACTTCCTCCCCCAATTGTGCTAATCATATGGTCCTTAACGATTCTTGTGATGAAGCATCATCCACACATCATGTGTTTCATTCCCTGCCAATCAAAACTCGGTAATATTTTTTTGGTCTTAAGCAAGAGTAGTAATTATCAAAGAGTGTATATATAGGAAGATGGGTTATTATTTGGTATCCGATGACACGGCCGTGCTCCGGAGATGATTAACCCAAAATGCGATGCAACCCTCCATCTTTCTCTTTGCTACACCAACCAATTGAAAATGAACACGTATATACACATGAATCCTTCAATCGGTTTTTAATGTGTTTTCACTATAAATGTAGCCCCTGAATTTCACCCACGCTTTTTTTTTTCTTTCACGAAATCCGAATTGCCTCTGCAATCCCCTAAAGGTTTTTCCTTTTCCCCTTTTTTAATCATACTGTTCTTCCTACTGTCGTTTTTGTTGTTGTTTCGAAGACGACTTCTATTTTTCTAATGCTTGGAGAATCAGACTTTGAGCTTTGAATTGCTTTTCTGATTTGCCCTCCTCCTTAATTTTTGTTCTATAAACGAAATGTTTGGGTCTGAATTTGCAAGACCTAATTATATTTTCATTGTGTGTGTGTGTGTGTGTGCTTTTTCCCCTCTTTTTTCTCTTATTTTTCATGCTAAATCATTGGTCTACACCCTACAGCTTTGCAAACCTGATCTTCATGAATTCAAGCAGCGCTGTTGCATCCACAGTTTCCTGCAAATCGGGAAACAAGAACGGTTTTCTTGTCTGGATTTTGGCTTGTTTGCTTCGAAGTTTTCTTGGAACCCCTGTTGCATACCTTAACTTCCACCTGTTTAAGGCCATTGTACGGAGCCCTTCTTCATCTAATTGCATATTGGAATCAATTGGATGTTTCCATCCATAACCTCAAGGCCTTTTTGAAGTTATCTGAATCATTTCATAACCAGCATGGTTTCCTCTGAGTTATCTAGTGTAAATGAGTCTCGCCTTCACAAAGACTTCCAAAATCAGTTACTTTTCCCCATGGGGCAACCTGAAACTCCGAGTTCTGACAATCTTGAGTTTGATTTCTCTGATGTGTTTGGCCCTGCTTCAGTTCAACCCTCAATGGAAATCAGCACCCAGAATCCTAAAACTATGGTTGTTGCAACTGAATCCAATGAAATGCTTTATGATGATCCAGCTGCCATCTGTAGCCGCTCACACTCCTTGGTTGGCCCCTCAACATATGTTAGCCAGTCATTGAAGCTTAGCAAGCTTACATTACGTGAGACGGGGGATTCCCTGGAACTTGTAGAGAAGCCATCAATTGATGATGTTATTCTGGAGAATCCTGATGACAATATAGAGAGTCGTCCTTTGGGACAGCAACCTATGGGACTAGAAGATTTTGAAGTTTTAAAGGTTGTTGGCCAAGGTGCTTTTGGAAAGGTTTACCAAGTAAGGAGGAATGGTACCTCAGACATATATGCAATGAAGGTTATGCGCAAGGATAAGATTATGGAGAAAAATCATGCTGAATACATGAAATCTGAGAGGGATATATTAGGAAAAGTGGACCACCCCTTCATTGTTCCGCTCAAATACTCATTCCAAGTAATGATGTGCTAGTAGAGTAATGATTTATATTTCTGGTTGCTTTTTTTTATTCTCTTATGGTTTTCACTTGTTTCAATGATGCCATGCTAGTATAATTATGGTAGTGTAATTATATTGGATATTTTGACAGTCATATAAATTTGCTGTCAAATTTAGTATAGGTTTATATTTATCCATTTGCCAATTCATGCAGACCAAATATAGGCTGTATCTTGTGCTTGATTTTGTTAACGGAGGGCATCTGTTCTTCCAACTTTATCGCCAAGGCTTGTTCAGGTATGGCATTAAATGTAAGCTGCAACTGCTTTACATTGTGATGACAATGATGTAAATTTTCTGGACCTTTGTCCAACATTTTGCATTTCCTCCTTCAGGGAAGATTTGGCTCGCATATATACTGCAGAGATAGTATTAGCCGTTTCTCATCTCCATGCAAGTGGTATAATGCACAGGGATCTCAAGCCTGAAAATATTCTTCTAGATGCTTCTGGACATGTAAGAATTGTGCAAAATGCTGTGAATTTTTTTAGTGGATTTTCATCTACTAGAGATTGTATTTAATGTTTGTATGGCCATGCTATAGCAAAATTTATGGTTTTCAAACCTGAAGTATTGTCATTATATGTGCCACCTGGTAGTTGGTTTCTGCGGTGGTCATAATTTTTGTGATTGCATGTGCGGGAAACTGTGTGCTACGCTTAGCATTGGTTGAGCTTAACTAACTGAACTCTACACTACCGTCATGGTGGTTGTTGCTACCCTTGTGTTACCAGGTAATGCTGACAGATTTTGGCCTAGCAAAGGAATTTGACGAAGCCACAAGATCCAATTCCATGTGTGGAACTTTAGAATATATGTCACCTGAAATTGTTACTGGCAAAGGCCATGACAAGGCTGCTGATTGGTGGAGTGTTGGAATTCTATTGTATGAAATGCTTACTGGGAAGGTTGGTATATATCTATTCATTTTGATAATTTTATTCGTCTTATGATCTTCAGCTCTTGATTTTTTGTTACGTTTGAGAAAGTGCATGTCTAGTATCTAATGCTTCCCACACTTTTCTATGCATGCTTAGCCTCGCTCTTGTTTATTGTTTAACTGTTTTACAGCCACCCTTTACTGGCGGAAACAGACAGAAGGTCCAGGAGAAAATAATAAAGGAAAAGATCAAGCTGCCAAATTTTTTGTCAAGTGAAGCACACTCAATCCTCAAGGGGGTAAGTTCCGCATTCTCCTCTATTTATGATTTTTCCATTAATGTTCCAATGCTCGGAAAATGTCCAAGACTTGCATAGCTGTGAACTTAAACGATCTACTCCATATAATGCAAAGTAAATGTGTAAAACGTGTACAAATGTGAAACTAGATTGTGGTTTCTTTGGGTTATGTAACTTTTGTGGTTCCTCATGTTTGGATTTTCATAAGGAATAATGGTGGAGTTTGTTTGTTCTTTCTTTAGCTTTTGCAGAAAGAAGCAAGTAAGCGTCTTGGTAGTGAGGAGATCAAACGCCATAAGTGGTTCAAGTCCATTAACTGGAAGAAATTAGAGGGTCGGGAGATAAGGCCTAGTTTTCTTCCTCAAGTTGCAGGGAACCACTGTGTAGCTAATTTTGAGGAGTGCTGGACTAGCATGCCGGTTACTGATTCTCCAGTTGCTAGTCCTACATTCGGTGAGAATCCCTTTAAAGGCTACACATATGTTAGGCCTGCCGCCTCCTTTCTTCTGAGAAATGCTTGATATTTCCCAAGCGACGACACAATGAAAGATGGCTATGCTAACAGCCTTTTCAACTTGGATTAGTTTGCGGAACTATGCATTCGATTGTGTTTTGTTTTCTTTCTTTTTAGGGCTTAAACATAACGCTACAGTGAGTCTACTAATAGACATTAATTTTATGAGATCCAAACAGCGGTTTTATGTTTCCTTATTCTTTCTTGATCGTTAGATGGTATGTTTTTTTTGTGTAATGTTCATATGAAAAATCAGGATCATTTAAATCAGAATTACCATTCGCTTTAATTATCAAAATAAGTTCTGTAACGCCTCTTCTTAGATTCTCTTAGTCATCTAGTCCGGATGTAGAGAGAAATTCACACTACTCAGCCTCCTGCCCATCTAAGTGAACCGCTAAAGCATTATTGAATTAAAGACGAAACCACTTCACTTCACAAAGCAATTGGAAGAAGATATTATGATGATAAACTGCAGTTCCATAAACATAATGCGAATAACTCAAAAATCCAAATATTTTAAGCATGAAAATCCATCAGTTCAACTAAAGGAAATATTCGCAATACAACTATAACGATAAACCAGAAATGAGTTCAATAGATGCTTTTGGAGAGCACAATTTTTTTTTCATGGTCAAGAGTCTATGCCGCTCCAGAAAGAAAAGCTCTTCCAGGTTGACGATTAGCCAAAGGCCCATGACATCCAAGAAGCTGCACATTATAAATTTTCCACTTTAGACATAATACAACAGGAAACTTGCAATTACATCATTTGAAATTGCAGTATTTAAACTTTTTTAATGTTCAGTGCAAACAACAGTAACCAAAGAGAGTTAAAAAACATCATGCACGATTTCATATAATAAGCATCCATATAATGTGTATTATATACGCAAATCAGGAATATAAATAAATGATAAAAACACTGTCTGAAATAGATAATATTTTCCCATACCTTTGCATTGACACCATCTGGGACAATCCTGTTCTCAGACTTCCACCTCAGATAGTCAGCACGGTTGTATTTGGTAAATCCCCTGACGATGACAAATATAATAATATCATAAATATATACTTCAATTATAGCAAAACAAAGAGAAAACATCAGGAGTTCAAGAGTAAAACGTCTAAGAAAGAAAAAAGCATACCACTTCCTGCTAACAATAATCTTTTGACGACCAGGAAACTTGAACTTTGCACGACGAAGGGCCTCTTGTGCATGATGGCTGTTGCTGTCCTTGCAACGAACAGAAAGGAGGACCTGACCAATGTCAACTCTTGCACATGTTCCTAGCGGTTTACCAAAAGCACCCCTCATTCCAGTCTGAAGCCTATCAGCACCGGCACATGAAAGCATCTTGTTGATCCGCAGAACATGGAAGGGATGAACCCTTACTCTCAAATGGAAAGCATCCTTCCCAGCAAACTTGGCCATGTACTTGTTGCAGGCAATTCGGGCGGCTTCCAATGCCTCACTCGAGACATTCTCCTTCTCCCAACTGACCAGATGGACACAGAACGGAAATTCATCAACACCCTTTTTCTTCATCCCAACATCATAAATTCTGATCTTAGGATCTGGAACACCGCGGCAGTATCGAGATTTAGGGTATGGTTTGTTCTTGATTTGACGATAACACCTTGCAGGTCCTATATAACGAAAGAAAATAATGAGAACGACACTCAAAAGTTTACATAATACAACAATAGATTCTAAGGGAAATCATGATAGAACCCATGAAATAATACAAATCATTTCTAAAAGAGATGGTTTCCAGAACCTTAAGCCTAGTGTGCATGCAAGATAGAAGAGAAATATACAATTAAATTCTAAGTATAATGTAGCCAGAAATACAAAATAACCAGAACTTGAAAAGAAAAATGTAACGATTATAGACTCCACAAGCAACACGCTAAAGAAGATGGCCACCAGAACACATTCCCAATGATTTTTTAAGTAGTATTTGCAAGCAATTACATGATATAGTTAGTAGACGATTCAAAGAGCACCATTGTCCAAGTTCCTTGCATAGTATGAATAAACTTAAAACAATTGAAAATTAAAACAATTGAAAATCATAAAGCCAACTGAATCTTCAGCCGCTACAACTTAAAAGATTTATGACAAATTTTCCATTATTTTTTTTTGTAGAGATTAGCAGGTCCTTTTTGACATGGAAATCAAGAAATGAGCATGATTAAACAGATTAAATGCATATCAAAGCAGTTCGAGACATACGAAACAAAATGAATTTCCATTAATGTAGGTAAAACAAAGAATAAAATGACGGAAATTGACAGAAAGACAGCATCCAACGATAATCGATAACACAAAAAAACGTAAGAGCAATTACAGCAGTAAAGATTTAAGAGAAGAATCATAATAGCAAGCAAGAGAGGGAGGTAAGGAACTCACTCCTCCCCATGTCGACGGCTGGTCCAGATGAGATTTGAAACTTAGGAAGAGCAAACCCAAAATGCCCAAAACCCTATCTTCGCCCTTTTCATTTTATAGCGTAAATGTATAATTAAAAATATTTATTTTGGGCTCATATAACTTCAGTCCAAACCAATTTCCTATTCTAAAATACAAGTGAAATTATAACATCTCAAATTTAAATAAATATTAATTAGATTTTTTATAATGAAAACAGACTGAAATGAATTGATTACAAATGTGAAGTCCCTGTTTAGTAGTTAGGCCAAAATGTTTAATAGTGAAATTTTGTTGACATGTTTCACACCATTGATTTCCAACAGTAAGATGTAGTCATTGATACCACATTTAAGGAATTTATATCCCTTAAATAAGGCCTTAAATAAGGGATAATTCCCACTGATTGGGAAAAGCTTACTAAATAAGTTTCATTGTCTTTCATCCCTCATACTGATTTATGATTTTATGTTAGAGAGTAAATTTATAATATTTAAAAAATAATAAATTTGTAAAATTTTAAAAGATAAAAATAAATTATCAATTAAAAATACAAAAATATATTTAAAATATATAAAAATTTAACATTTTCAAAATAATAATTACCACACCCTCACCCTCGATATATCCATTCATTTCACCATGACCGAAAGTTCAAGTGTGTATAATAGAAAAGTGATATGCAGAAGGCTATGATAGATATGGTATAAAAGTGGCCATGTATGTATATAGATATATGTAAATTGCTAAATGATGTATGATACTTGTTTGGTTTGGTTCGTTGACATTATATTTTAATTCATTTATAAAACGGTATCTAAATTATATTATTGTTTTTAATAATCTTGAGTGATTTATAAGGTAATATCTGTTTAGAATTTTCTTAATAAATTGACAACGTACATGCCAATACAGACGCAGCTACTCGAATCCAGAACCTCTAGAGAGAACAATATCCCCTTTTTATTACCGATGTCACTTGATGAGTTCCTAAAAACTCTTTCCTAGTTTCTTAATGTTTTCTCAAATTGTATAATAGATATATGCATAATTCCGTAATCGCTCCATTAATATATGACAATCTCTTGTCTAGACAAGATTGTTACATAAATGTTTTCTCAGTTAAACTTCGAAACAGAAAGCATTGGAGTTGTAAATCAGTTAGGTTTTGGCACCACATATACTCGACTTGCACGCCTCAGTTTTCATCCCTTCACCATTGTTGGTTGGTTACTTATACTTTGAGGTTTGAGACTGCAGAGACGTGGTTGAATTAAAGCTGCAGAGCTGCAATCATTTGAGTTGCATGCCCAATAACTTAACCTCAGGTGCAGTAATATTCTGCTTTGTTGTGTGTATCCTATACATACATACATACATGCATACATGCATACATACATTTTATGTATAGAAATGCTCGTCATCGTTATGAGGATTGAGGAATTCAGATTGGATCAGATCATTGTGTTGCATCAATGATCTTTTGTGGTGGACCCATAAAAATTCCAAGTGTTCCCCCTAGTGGGGTGGTGCCAGTTGTTGGCACTTATCAACGGGTGATAATTTCTTTTTATTTCACATATAATCAAAATAAAGGGTCATAGTCTTGTAAGTATATGCCCTGAATGCTTGTACTCCGGCTGACATATTAATACCCTCAACTCAGTGTTAACCGGCACACTGCTTACAAACTGGAACGAAAATGATAGTTTTTTGGGGGCACAGTTGGAGCTAGCTTAGCTGATTAATTGCCTCATCTCAAGATGGCAAATATGGTCATATTAGTTTGAGTTTTGGTGTGTTCCAAGGACCCAGTAAATTGCAGGATTTTGCATATGAAAATTGAAAAGTTAACTTTTAGCAGAAGAGGGGGAGATTTTGAAGACTGATGATGATGGGAAATAAGGCTAAGCTAGAGTGGTCTCCACAAGTTCACTCACTCTCTATCCATGATACAGACGGGGGAGAAAAGGACTTTCTTTATGGCATTTGGAAGAGGAAAAAAGAAATGCAATTTACAGTCTAAAAGCAACATACTACTACGTGGTATGGGGTGTCGTGAGTCTGAGTTTCGGTCACTCCCCAGCACAGCATAAGCTCCAATTGTACGTCTCTCGCATCAAATCATCAATGTCTACTTTTATTTACATCTACACATGTATATTCGTCAGTTCATCTCTATAAATATATATATAAAAAAAAGCTATGCCTCCATGACACAGGACAGGAGTGCCAGAAAGTACCTGTATCAGAATTAACACTATCAACTAGCAAATACCAATGCTCCATCTCTACATATTTCTATTTTCTTTTGAATTATACCCTTTTTTATGTTCAATTTTTAAAGAAGATTGTGTTGTGTACGTAATTCAATCATTAACATGTAGTTTTCATTGAATGTATGGCTCATTATAACGGGATTCTATAATTAATCCAATTCAATTCCGCCATTGTTTCCTAGAGAAAGAAAGTGAAAGTAACATATTGTATGGATGATGAAAGAGTACGTAAAGATACTGTAAAAAGATTTTTGTGATATTCGAATTAATCGATTAAAAATAGAAAATGTAAAGTAATTTGACCTGAAAAAGAGTGATAGAGAGAGCCTAATCCTCCAATACCGTGTTTTGCTTTTACACCCTTTGATTTCTTTTTTCCTTTTTCCCATTCCATACTATTCCCACTCTCCCTCGTTGGATATGGTCAGATGTTAGGTCGCTTTCCCGTATCTGACTCTCATGACAACGATGACCCACCTTTTTTTCCCTTTAGTTTGCCTATGATAATACATACATACATTATACATACATACTACAACTCATTCATCTCTGCCTGGCCTTCACAATCCATAATTTCTGCAGCTATCTCCTTTTTCTACTATTATTCTCCACCTTCTCTCTTACTTCCTTTCGTTGTTTTGCTACCTGCAGTTGCTGTCCATGCCAGGGCCTTCCCATTATTTCTCTTTCCTTTGTTTGTGCTTCTATTTTTTCCGTTTATTCCCCCAAGATTAGGGTTTTAAGCATTACTTTGCATCACTTAAAAAATTAGGGTTTTACTTCACTAACTCAACCTGATTACTCTCTCCATGAGTATGAATGTTTATAGTAGTGCAGCACATGTATGTTTTTTAGCGGTTAGGTTAAGATAATGAATTAGATACAGACTCACACTTTCCTTTTACTTTTATTGGTTTCATTTCTTTCTTTTTTTTCCTTTTATGTTAACAAAATACTAGATCCCATGTCTATATATTGACTTGATAGGACTACTTTATTCACTTCTATTAGTATATCAGGAAATGGTTTCTTTGATCTGATGCCTGTCCCGCAGTTTCCAGGGTTAATTCCCCCTGCTTAGTACTTGCTTCGTAGCCTATAATAACTCATCAGTCTAAACTTATGCACATGCCTTGCCGCTTACAACAGTAAGTTCTATATCATCTGTTAAATTGTTTCCTTGAAGCTGGCGGTTGCTGGGAAATGTTTCTTTTTTCCCATCATTTGCAACTCATCTTTAACTCACCAACGGAGTTTATAGTCTACTCACACTTTTCCTTTCTGTGAATTTACTTTCATATGCTAGCTTATTATATACATAGTTGGTTGTTAGTTTCCTTTGGATGTTTCAAATTCGATCATGTTTCATGTCAAGGTCTTACAGTTGGTGTTTCGTTTCTGAATGTGGCGGTAAAGGGTACTCAAGGATTGATCTTCTTTGTTCAATGCGTTCAATTTAATATGTGTTTTTCAATATCAGTCCCTTCATCATTCTTTTATCACTCATTTCATTTGAGTTGTTAATTTACTTTCTCTTTCATCCTCTTGGACATCAGGTTGGTTCCTCAACCTATAATCACTAAGCTTGGATCACATATTCGAGTTGTGGTGTTTGTCATAACGCTGCAATTAGATTGGCTGAAAATAAAATTGATGTAGCTGATTGTTTTGTTAGTAAAAATGATCTTGTAGACTAATTTGCTAGTTTGGGCAGCAGTTGTGTAGGAAAGAATTAAAGAATTTTAGGGAAATGGGAAGAGAGAGCTTCCTTTAGCCCACTCACGGATGGGAACAAGGGGGTTGAACTAGCTGCCGACTCATTCATTCAAGCACTCAGTAGAAAATGAAATGGAGATTTTTACTACTGTGATTGTGTGAATGAAGCGGGAGATAATTTTGCATCCCTCTTTCTCCATGCTTGGACTGAAGGGAGCTCCTTCTTCCTGTTCCCCCTCATTTATGTGTCTACTGTACTACCAAATACTCTCTACTTTTACTACCTATCTGTATATAGCTTTCACCTCATTATCACACGTAACTTATCTACCAACACGGCTAACTCGTATCATCATCGACCTTCTTCTTTGTAAGTAAAGTAGTACACACTGACTTGGATCATTAATTGCCACCTCTCTGACATGGCGTAAATGCTTGTTACTCATTTGGTGTATTTTTCTTTTTACTGGACAGGGAAATCAAACTATGGTCATCTCAACTTGTCAAACGGGAGTTGGCTTAAAGGTTCCATTATTGACAAGCTCTCTTGAGTCCAGTCCCAGTCCCAGTCCCAGTCCCCAATTCCTTCTATTCTCTAACTTGTGTATACATCTGTACATACATTACTCCAGGCTCTAGCATTAGTAGTGTTGGATTTAACTTGCTCAAAGTGGAGTCAGTTCCATCTGATGGAACTATTAATGATCTACTACTGATGTCTGTTGACCATGTGTTGGCATTTTGAATCAGACGGTGTACAGCTCGGTGCACGTGTTGGCATGTGTTTGTTTCTGGGTGTGTTTCATTGCTTGTAAAGTGTCAAATGCATGAGTGGGGTATGCTGCTGACTGCTCGCACCTCGAAATTTGACTATAGCCAGCCATCAGCATCAGGAAACAAATAAACAGGACGTATGATTTTATGTCATAAAATGTACATTTAGGAAGTTATATTAGAAATTTAAGATTGTGAAATTATAGGATTTCAACTGCAAGGATGCAACCGCACTCTAACATCCCTTGGCCCATCCCTGCAAGTAAGCGTGTTTCAACTACATGTTTAAAATATTGGTTTTGGTTAAGCACATTTAGAACCAGTTGTTTTCTGCATCTGAAAGTGTGCATCGAAAGAGAATGCCATTGTTTTTTTAACTTGGGCATCTTGTTAGTTTTATAGCTTGCATGGGGCCTGTGATGATGATGTCGTGGATCTTACTGCAGGAATGAATAAGTTACGGATGATTAAACTTGCATTCCTCTCTCTTATTTCCTGCTCCCCATGGATCTCTCGTAAACATTTATAATAGATGCATGTTATATATATATATGAAATGTGGTCCCTAAACAGCCACCATTTTCACCTGATATGCAAAGTGGATTATTAATTAGTGTTGTAGTTCACTAGATTTTGCTTGTTACTTTAAACAACTTGTCCTGTTTTTAAGTTTGGTCCCCACATTCGCTGGTCCTGTGGGCTGTGGTCATACAAAGTCTCATTTCTCAATTAGCTCTGCAAGTTGAAGTCGTTAAATCTCATTTCTCCCTACAGCGGTATTTTCTGAAATCTGTATTGTCGAAAACAGCAGTGTGAGGGGGAATCAGACTAATAACAATGAATTGTGGCCTTAAATTACGGGTAATAACTAATTATGGTAATAGCAGGTCACTATTGTCGTAATTGTTCTGTTACGATAAAATTACAAAAAATCTAACTCCATTATCGTCTCACAATTATTATGTTTTACAATAAGAATAACTCATGATTGTGATACAATGATTGTAATAACATTGTATTTCTAGCAAGTTGTTTAATAGTTGGGATATTGAATTATATACATAATAGACTGATTTAAATTTCTTATATCTACAACTACGATAAACGTAACGTGACAGTAATCAAAATTTGGGAATCACATTCTTTTTTCCGCCTCAATATATCTATCAATCTATACAAAGTTTCATAATATATATATATATATATATATATATATATATATATATATATTTGAATGAATAAAGTTGATGTGATATTTTAAAATAGAAAATAATAATTTGCAAATCATCCAATCAAATAAGATAATGTCATAATGAATCTGAATTTAATAAGATAATCTTAATCATGTTAATAATTGAATTTAATAAGAATTTATAACCATCATAAAATGAATTCATACAAAAAATAGCATGAGAAAAATATTTTCTACCATCTTTGAACATTATATTATTTTTGTAGGATTTAGATCAGAAGGTGAGTTTTTAATGACGTGAATATGCCTATCAGTTTTCTTTAAAAATGGAGATTGTATTCTGAAAATAGGAAAACTGATTGCAAAAAATAGGATAAGAATAGAAGGTGAATAGGATGGCGGCAGATTTTTTTTTTTTGATTTATTTTCAAAACAAAAATTGTTGTTATATTCTCTCAAATTTATTTCAATATATATATATATATATATTAATCATGACATGATTTAATGTTGTTCTAAAAAAATTACTTTTTTCTTTTTCAAATTCTCCAATTCTAAAATATTTTTTTCAATCAAAAAAATAAACTCTAAAATGTCTATAAAAACAAACATCACTAAGAACAAGATAAAATAACCCTAAAATCTTTACACCCTACTTTTTAATAGATCAAAGGAACATAATTTTCATTTGGGGAGAATAAGAACCCCAAAAGGCTTGTATTTGGGTTTGACCTAATTCAATTATCTTTTTATTAATTTTGCCTTTTCTTAACTGTGAAGAGAAATCTAAATATGGGCTTTGAGCTGCGCATTGCTTGGCCCAATGTAGACATTCTCTCATAAGGGAAAAAAACAATACAAAACCGAAGTTTACAATTTTTATATGATAATATTAACCGAAAGGAAAATGGAAGATAGATACAGAAGAGAAGCGGAGGAAGGCGAAGACGTAGTTGTTGTTTGTGACCTCGGATCAGATCTATTAGCTAACCACTGATTCTGTCTTTCTTGCAGATTTCGTTGTCATTTCCTTCGTTTCGCATTAGTCGGTTTCTCAATTCCCCCTTCAATCTTTTCTTTGCTTCTTGTTACTCAATTTTGCATTCAATTTCAATTCCCTTTTTTTGTATATATTTTCGATCTTGTTGGATTCTTTTTGCTCATTTTTGCAATCATGAATTGGAATTAAATTTCTTGGTTCCCTTAATTACTGTATCACCCTTATAATTTATCTCGTGCCTACTGCTCCGTTTTTCGGATTAATGCTGCCTTACTAATCCTAATTATTATGCAATCATTAGGTTTTGGATAGTTGCTTGACAAAAGAACTGTAAAGAATAGTTTCTAAATTTCTGCACTCTTGATTTTTTTCAGCTAGCTAAGTCTTGAGCATTCATTCACGTACACATACATGGTTATTGGTGGCTTTAGGGTTTTGCAAGATTTCCTTTTGGAGCTTTCTGTCTCTGCGTGTGCTGCTAGGCTAATGTAACCAATTCCAGAGTTGGAGACACCTTTTTTAATCATTATCATTCACTTACACATGACTTCAACCACACTGTCCACCTCTCCACCACTCTTTGCAAGGACATCCGCTGAACCTACTCAAACCCACATTTCCGATGATCCATCATCCTTTATGCAGTCCCAGGATGCCCCTGATATTGACCAAATAGAGTTACTCTCTGTGTCCTGGAACCAGGATTATGGCTGCTTTGCTGCTGGCACATCCCAAGGTTTTCGTATTTATAATTGTCAACCCTTTAAGGAAACCTTCAGACGTGATCTCAAATCCGGGGGTTTCAAAATTGTTGAAATGCTCTTCCGCTGCAACATTTTGGCACTTGTCGGCGGGAACTCCAATTTTCACTACCCTCCAAACAAAGTTATAATCTGGGATGATCATCAAAGTCGCTGCATTGGTGAATTTGCATTTAGGTCTGACGTTCGAGGTGTCAAATTAAGGCGTGATCGCATTGTTGTGATCCTGGAGCACAAGATATATGTCTACAGTTTTATGGATCTCAAGCTTCTTCATCAAATTGAGACTTTGGCCAATCCTAGGGGCCTTTGTTGCCTTGCTCACCATTCTAATACATCTGTATTGGCTTGTCCTGGTCTTCATCGAGGACAAGTTCGAATTGAACACTTCGGCCTCAATAGGATGAAACTAATTAATGCTCATGATTCTCATATTGCCTGCTTGACCTTGACATTTGATGGTCTACTTCTTGTAACTGCTAGTACCAAGGGTACCTTGATAAGAATATTCAACACAATGGAGGGAACTCGCTTACAAGAGGTATATTGCTGGACTATGGTTTTGTTTTCTCCTAAACTTACACTTGTATTGTTCAAGTAATGTTGATTCAAGGGGGGAAATTACTAGCTTTGCCCCTAAACCTGTCCTGCCCGATCTGTGAAGTAGTGATCTTAAGTGTTAACAGTAGGTGTAATGTCATTTATATCGTCAATTAGCATGATGGACTCTTCAGCATTATTCTCATCTCCACTCAATCCCTCTGCAATTTAGGCGCTCATAGTAATAGTTACTGTCCATGTAGGTACGAAGAGGAGTGGACAGAGCAGATATCTATAGCCTTGCCCTCTCGCCAAATGCCCAATGGTTGGCTGTGTCGAGTGATAAGGGAACTGTTCATATATTTCACCTTCGAGTTAGAGTTTTTGGGGAGGATTCATCTTCTCGACAATCTTCTGTCCAAGGTCCAGCATTATTTCATCAGAATTCTTCAACTTCACTTGATGCTCTTATAACTCCAAGCACTGGTGCCAATCCTGGTTCATCATTGTCTTTTATGAGAGGTAATAAATACAGTAAGCCTTTGTAGTTTATATACAGGTATTTTGTTACTTTTTAAAACAGAATTGCAATCAATTCGTTTCGTGAAATTTCCAATAAAAGTCAATTTTGTATGTTACAAAATATTTAAGTCAGTGAATCGCTAGATATGGAATTCTTTATAGAAGATCTGATGTATAACGATGAGGATAGGTGAGAAGCAGAGAATTAGTTGGCTGGTGTTATATTAATTAAAATATGAGTATTTGCTTCTCTAAACGTACCAACATTCTGCATTTGCCAGGGGTTTTACCAAAATATTTTAGCTCAGAATGGTCATTTGCTCAGTTTCACTTACCTGAAGATACCCACCAATTTATTGCAGCATTTGGATCTCAAAACACTGTTATTATTGTTGGCTTGAATGGGAGGTATTTGCTTCTCCTTTTTCTCTTGAATACCATTCAAATGCTATTTTGTCATTGAAGAGGAATTGTGCTTGATTTCCTATTGAAATTAAGGAACTAGTATTGATAAAATAGAAAGCTTTAGTTGGTTTAATAATTGTTTGTAAGGTACGGAAATGCCTTGGATATGTTGACCCACCTCATATTATATCGTTTTTATACCTTATTCAAAGCTATATATTTGCATAATTGTGTTCCTACCCGAAATTTAAACCTCGTGTATTAGTTCTTTCATCAAACAAATCTGCTTCTTCTCTGAGATGATAATCAGCAGATGTGCAACAATCCATTTCAATAGGGACTTACTTTCCCTGTTTCTTGCCAACTTCAAATGTGTACTGCTTTATTGAGCATTTTACATCTTTTATGATGTACGGCATCTAATTTCTTGTAAGTTAGGTAGATGCTGTATATTTCATACTTAGGTCAGGTACTGAACTTAAGAAACAGACCAAACTGTATAGCATACAAGTACTTCCACAAACTTGGGGATTTGTGTTTTCTTGAGAAACAGTCTGAACTCCACGATCAGAAGAGTATCTCCTTCTACTTCCCTCTGCCTTCTTCCTCTGGTCTATTTTAAAAATTTCCTACTCTGTCTTACACCTTTTCTTATTATCAGTTTCTACAGGTGCAGTTTTGATCCCGCTAATGGTGGAGAGATGTTGCAGCAGGAATATGTCAAGTTTTTGGAAACTGATAGCCGGCCTAGGTAGAATTGAATCCAGACAGATGCCTCTGATATTGTACAAATGGATCCAATATCTTTCACATGTACATATCTTAAAATCTTCCATGAAATGCTGCATGCTTCTTGTTGTATAATGTCCAAGAAATTGCTGTTCCAGGTACTTTGTATATGGGTAATAAATTGCTGGTTAACGGCAATATTCCACTGGACTAAAATTGGCTCTATATAAGAGACATATTTCCTGGTACTCAAATTATTCTTGTCAGCCTGACAATGCCAAAGCGTCCTGGCTATAAAAAATCACAGGGTTTTGTATTCCTTGCTTATATTACCATGAAGTTTATTCGGAATGCTCTTCAGTGGATGCTTTCAAATTCACTATATTTTGCAATACTTGGTAGCAAAATCAAGCTTCAAAAGGGTAAGCATTTTTTCTAGGCAAAATTAGTGAATTATTCTTTAGTAGTTGGAGCATTGGAGCAATATTTTTTAACTGAGGATTGTTGCAGGCAACTCTTATAGCGCTATCGTCCTACTTTCACCTTAACAATCTCCAATAATATTAAAACGTGTTTTTTCCTTTCTGGAAAAAATAATGTATCCATACAAGTCCAAAGAATTGGGTACCGTTTGGTAGTCTTAATTTGGGAAACAACGAGTGATAACTGATACATTCGGTTCCCTTGGAATTACTCACCCATTTCCCTACATACTATAAGCAACTCCAGAGAGTTCACCAGTCTAACAAATACCAATAACACGTGAACACAATTGAAAGTAAACAAAGAAGGGCCAACCATGGACACCCTTATTATTTCCATTTTTCCTTTTATTTTTAACACCATATTTGATTCGAGCATGCGATTCAAGCGAGGGTAGATCTCAATCACTTAAAGCATAGAGCTTCGCTTATCATCAAATGCAATCATCACTTTCCCTATTACTCTTCTATCTTTAATTGCAGAGAATGCAAGGTTGGCCTGTCAAAAGACGAACAACCAAATAAGTTGAAGCATTCCGAAGAAGTAGAAAGTAGAACCTACACCTGCAAGCCTATAACAGTAAAATCTTCTCACATCATCTTCTATACGGGAAGGAAAAGATAAAACCAATCAAAGAAATCAATGAATTTCTCATAAGCATCTATCACAGCGGTAGCAATTACAAGCTTCATCATTTTGGTGAGTCCTATAAAGAAGTATGCACCAAAAGTAAATCATGCATGTCTGGGTCTCTAAATCTCACCATGCATCAATTTGCATCAGGTTGTAAGATTTGTGATAGTCCCGGGATATTGGGACTGGAAACAACATAATTCACTGACTCCAAAATGAGGAATGCAGATGAGAATACTGCTACACTTTGGTAAAGTTGCAAATCTAATGAGATGGATAGGATTTGGTCCGCTGCAATTCCAAGTATGGGCTAACCTGGCTTTCAGCAGACCACTGTGCTTTTGTTTAGAGATTTGAGGTTTAAGACATCAATTTTCAAATACTTCCTCTGTATCTTTCAATTATGGTTTTCCTTCATAAATTAGAGCTTCACATAATAAAAGAACAAAGGGGGGAAGTGGAAGACCGGTAGGAGCCCATTACCTCTGTTAGGCTATACGTTTGAGAAATGTGAACGGTAATTAAGCCCTTTTGCATCCAGGAGATCAACTCCCGGATGGAATCCTCGAGCACAGCTGGTCGATGTATCCTGTAGCTACCGCAGTACAGTCCATGCACAGTCCAGTTCTGCATAAGTTATACGAGGGAGAAGGCTATTCAAGATAAACAGCTAGCAACAAGTGACTGACTGACTGTGACCATAATAATTACGAACTAGTTTAACATGTCAAACTAATGAGCATCATTAGAGTAGGTTTAGAACCAATCCCTGCTACATCAAATTTATAGTTAATTATTTGACATACAAATCTTTCATTTGTCTATCATAAATATTTTCAGAAAGTTCCATTTATGCCCAAGAGTCCATGCACATTCCAGATTTACACAAAATAGTTGTCAGAGAAGGCCACTAAAGACAAGGAAGCAACTAATAATGAGTAACTGGACTGGTTAATGTTAAGAGTTGACTACTGAGCTTCATTACAAATCTTTTATTTGTCTATCATAAATATTTTGAGAACGTCATCATTCATTTATCCTAGAGTTCAGATAGTTATACAAAGAAAACACAGTCCATACCATAAATACACAGATTTCAACTAATTTGCATTTTCAGTGTCTATTTATGGTCTTCTTCAACTGAATATATTGATAAAAGAAAAGGCAAGCACAGATGAAATTATATCACAAAACCATCTTGGGTCCGAGAAATGAATATCACAAAACCACACCTTCAAAAGGAAGTGTTAGGAACGGTGACATGAGGTACATAAATACAAGCAGACCACTCTTGGTACTTTGCCAATACCCACAAATGAAGTATGATGGTCGTCTATTCAATGCAGACACACGGAAATTTAGAGAGAAAGAGGGAAAAGGTGGAGTACCTTAACAAGAGTGATATTTGCTGGGATCACAGGGATTTCACCACTGGCGAATCCGATGACAAGAATTTGTGCACCCCAATTCAAGAGCTTCATAGCTTCTTTAGTAAGCTTGCCACCAACAGGATCATAGAGAACATCAACCCCTTTGAGGTCCCTTGACTTGAGGAACTCCTTCACACTTGCAGTTAGATTTTGATCAGTCAAGTCTACCACGTGATCAACACCCAAGGACTTTAAAAACTGCACCTTTTCAGCTCCCCTGAAATTGTTTGATACCAGTACCTTTTTAGTGTTGAAATGAACAAGAAATGTAATGCTATTGCTAAGAGAAAGAAGCAGCACCTGGCAACAGCAATGACAACTGCGCCGCAAACCTTGCCAATTTGAACAGCAGAAACGCCAACGCCTCCGGCGGCACCAAGAACTAGCAATACCTGTTTGTAATAATTACCATTTTTCTTCTTTACAAGTACTATTACCATTATTAATTAGTAATAATAAACGAATAAATAAAAGAGATAAGTGCCTGAGAGGAGGTCAGGTTAGCCCTGTGAACAAGAGCTACATGAGAGGTCCCAAAGGCGACAGGGAGTGCAGCAGCTGCCACCAGATCACACCCTTTGGGCAACCCAAACCTAGTGAATCAGAAACACTGATTAGTTCATTAATTAATCCTTAAGAATCGATAGTATTAATAAATTAAAGTAAATTAAATTAAGCTGGTGGGGACGGACAGGAGGGATTGGTCTTGGACGACGAAGGAGGCGTAGGTGCCTAAATCGGCAACGGAGCAGACGGGGTCGCCCACCTTGAACTTGGTGACGGCGGGGCCTACGGCTTCGACAGTTCCGGCATAATCAGAGCCCGGTATGAAAGGGAGGGGAGGCTTCTCTTGGTACTTGCCCAATATCTGAAGGTAATTTCCGTAGTTCAAGCTGGTGGCTTTGACTTTGACTCTCACTGCAGTTGGAGAGTCCAATTCTGGGATGGGATAGTTTCTGATGACCTCAATGGGAGATGGGGACGAATCCGAATCATTGCCCACTGAGGGTGATTCTGATGCTGGATCGCCCAATCTCTTGCACAATAGAGCTTCCATCTTCTTCTTCTTTTTCATATATTTTCCTGTTTTCTTCTAAATATATTGACTTTTTTAAGAAAATAATGTTGGCGAAAAAAATATTTGAAAAATGCAGTCCCGCCTTACTGACGTGTTCCACAACAGATATTATTTTATTAAAAATAAAATAATATATTTCTTTTGACTAGGGGTAACTTTTTTTTATTTTTTTAAGAATATTTTTTAAATTTTAGATAAAATATTAATTTTCTTTTTAAATTTTAAATAAGATATCACTTTAATCTTTAAACTTTAAATATATCACTTTCACTCTTAAATCCAATCAAAATTCATATTATCGATCATCTATAACTATCTATCGTCTTTGAATATTAAAATTTTCAGTTTATTTTTCTCTTTAAAACATTTTTTCATCAAAAAATACCATGAGTTCTATAAATTTAACGTAGAACGTTTTGACTTCATTTCTTATGTAGTTTTGATCCCGCTAATGGTGGAGAGATGTTGCAGCAGGAATATGTCAAGGTTTTGGAAACTGAGAGCCGGCCTGGGTAGAACTGAATCCAGGCAAATGCTAATGATCTTTGTACAAATGGTCCCGATACCTTTCACGTGTACATATCTTAAAATCTTCCATGAAATGATGTATGCTTGTTATTGTATAATGTCCAAGAAATTGCTGTTCCAGGTACTTTGTATATGGGTAATAAATTGCTGGTTAACGGCAATATTCCACTGGACTAAAATTGGCTATATATCGAATCCATTAAGTAACCTCAGTAGTAAAAAAAATATTATTCTTCCTAGATGTTTTAGATTTAAGCAGGCCTATAGGTGTGTGTGTGCATTGTTAATAAGTTTAAAAAATTCAGAACAAATACTATCTTACAATCACTCCAAACTATTTTTTTTTTTAAAATAGCTCAATATCAAATACATGTTTGTTTTTTTTTGGATAATTTCATTTTATTACCCAAAGAAGAAGAGTTCTGCTACAAAAAATCAATCACCAACCAAAACCATATGAGCAACCTACTTACAAAATCAAATGATCGGTTAGACTATACCCAAAAATTACAAAGAGTAATATTAACACTATATAGTCTATTTATGTTCATTCCTCTTAATTGTATACCTATAATCTCCTTAATAGCTTTAAGTATCTCTTCAACAGTTCTGAAGCACCCTTGGAACAACCTTCTATTTCGTTCCTCCCACAAGGCGTAAATATAAGTACACCAAGCCAGTTTCAATATAGTTGTGAGAAGAGACTTACCTTTCCAAGCACTACAAGCCCAAGCTAACATGTCCTCCCATGACAATGGGGTCCTCCTTAACCCGTTTAGGAACAAAATGGCCTCCCATAAAGAAGAAGCCAAGGGGCACTCTTAAGAACAAGAACAAGTGGTCCCTTGTCTCCAAAGCTTTGCCCATAAAGAAGAAGCCAAGGGGAACTCTTAAGAACAAGTGGTCCCTTGTCTCCAAAGCTTTGTTGCAGTTAACACAATTACCATCAGTAGAAATCTCCATTCTTTGAAGCCTATCTCTAGTTGGAAGTTTGTCTAAGAGAGTCATCCAAGCAATCATACTATGTTTAGGGATGTAAAGAGGAAACCAAATCAATTTATGCCAAGGTATTTTGTCACCCTTCACCCGTACCTTTTCCCATATTTCCCTTATCTTCTTTGCTCCTGTAGATAGGACAGGAAGAGCTTCTGTCCTTGATTTAAATATTCTGTTTAAGCACCAGCTAGTATTGGCTCCTCCATCTATGATCCAAAAGTCATTCTCCTTTAACACGTAGCTTTTGAGCCAAGCTACCCATAAAGAACCCTCGCCTGCAAGAATTATTTGCTGGTGCTTAAATTATTCTTGTCAGCCTGACAATTCCAAAGCGTCCTGGCTGCAAAGAATCATAGGGTTTTGTATTCCTTGCTTATATTACCCTGAAGTTGGCTGAGGGTCCCTGTATTCGGAATGCTCTTCACGGATGCTTTCAAAGTCAGTATATCATGGCATTATTCCATTTGCAACACTTGGTAGCAAAATCAAACTTCAAAAGGATTTTTTGTAGACAAAACTAGTGAATTCTTCATTAGTAGTTGGAGCATATTTTTGTAAACCGAGAATTGTGGCAGGCAACTGTTATAGCGCTTTTATCATCCTACTTTCACCTTAACATTCTCCAATAATATTAAAACATGTTTTTTATTTCTGGAAAAAAATGATATATCCAAAGAATTTGGGAAACAACGAGCGTGAGCTTACGGTTCTCTTGGAATTACTCACCCATTTCTCTACAAAGTATAAGCAACTCCAGAGTGTTCACCAGTCTATAACAAATACCAGTAACGCAAGTACAGAACTGAAAATAAACAAAGTGCCAACCATGGACACCCCTATTATTTCCATTTTTCATATTATTTTTAACTCCTTATTTAATTCGAGCATCGGAGACAAATCTAGTTGCGAGGGTAAATCTTAATCACTTAAAGCTTAGACCTTCGCTTATCATCAAATGCAATCATCACTTTCCCTATTGCTTTTCTATCTTTAATTGCAGAGAATGCAAGGTTGGCCTGTCAAAGACGAACAACCAAATAAGCTGAAATGACTCATGTAAGAAGTAGAAAGTAGAAACTACACCTGCAAGCCTACAACAGTAAAATCTTTTCACATCATCTCCTACACGGGAAGGAAAAGATAAAACCAATCAAAGAAATCCATGAATTTCTCATAAGCATCTATCACAGAATCATGTATGATACGACGGACTACAGACTTCAATCCTGAAATGCGTATAAGAACTGTCATTTTTCCTCCTAAAGACAATAACATCATTACTAGAATAGAAATGGACCGGTAGCAAACACAAGCTTCATCATTTTGGTTGAGTGCTATAAAGAAGTATGCACCAAAAGTAAATCATGCATGTGACATGTCTAGGTCTCAAAATCTCACCATGCATCAATCTGCCTATTATCTGCATCAGATTTATGATAGTCCTGGGAAATTGGGACTGGAAACAACATAATTCACCAACTCCAAATGAGGAATGCAGATGAGAATACTACTTCTATTTGGTAAAGTTGCAAATCTAATGAGATGGATAGGATTTGGTCCGCTGCACTTCCATGTATGGGCTAACCTGGCTTTCAGCAGAGCCACTCTGCTTTTGTAAAGAGATTTGAGGTTTAAGACATCAATTTTTTCATATACTTCCTCTATATTTTTCACTTATAGTTTTCCTTCATAAATTAGAGCTTCACATTATAAAAGAACAAAGTGGGGAAATAGAAGACCTGTAGGAGCTCCTTACCTCTGATAGGCTGTTAATATGAGAAATGTGAATCATAATCAAGCCCTTTTGCATCCCGGAGAGCATCTCCCGGATGGAATCCTCAAACACAGCCGGTCCATGTATTCTGTAGCTACTCCAGTGCAGTCCATGCACAGTCCAGTTCTGCATAAGTTATATGAGTGAGAAGGCTATTAAAGATAAAAAAAAAAACTAACAACGAGAGACTGACTATACTAAATATTAACTTGTTTAACATGACATAAACTAATGAACTTCATTACAGTAGGTTTAGAACCAATCCCTGCTACTTTAAATTTATAGTTAATTATTTGACATACAAATCTTTTGTTTATCATAAATATTTAAAGAAAGTTTCATTTATGCCCAAGAGTCCATGCACATTCCAGTTCTACACAAGAGTGAAGTACCTTAACAAGAGTGATATTAGCTGGGATCACAGGGAATTCACCACTGGCAAATCCAATGACAAAAATTTGTGCACCCCAATTCAAGAGCTTCATAGCTTCTTTAGTAAGCTTGCCACCAACAGGATCATAGAGAACATCAACCCCTTTGAGGTTCCTTGACTTGAGGAACTCCTTCACACTTGCAGTTAGATTTTGATTACTCAAGTCTACCACGTGATCAACACCCAATGACTTCAAAAACTGCACCTTTTCAGCTCCCCTGAAATTGTTTGATACCAGTACTTTTTGAGTGTTGAAATGAAGAAGTGCAATGCTATTGCTAAGAGAAAGAAGCAGCACCTGGCAACAGCAATGATAACTGCACCGCAAACCTTGCCAATTTGAACAGCAGAAACGCCAACGCCTCCGGCGGCACCAAGAACTAGCAATACCTGTATGTAATAATTACCATTTTTCTTCTTTACGAGTACTATTACCATCATTATTTAGTAATAATAAACGAATAAATAAAAGAGACAATTGCCTGAGAGGAGGTCAGGTTAGCCATGTGAACAAGATCTACATGAGAGGTCCCGAAGGCTACAGGGAGTGCAGCAGCTGCCACCAGATCACACCCTTTGGGCAACCCAAACCTAGTGAATCAGAAACACTGATTAGTTCGTTAATTAATCCTTAAGAATCGATAGTATTAAAGCTAGTGGGGAACGGACAGGAGGGATTCATCTTGGACGATGAAAGAGGCGTAGGAGCCTAAGGCAGCGAAAGAGCAGACGGGGTCGCCCACCTTGAACTTGGTCACGGCGGGGCCGACGGCGTCCACAGTTCCGGCATAATCAGCGCCTGGAATGAAAGGGAGGGGAGACTTCTCTTGGTATTTGCCCAATATCTGAAGGTAATTGGCGTAGTTTAAGCTGGTGGCTTTGACTTTGACTCTCACTGCAGTTGGAGAGTCCAATTCTGGAATGGGATAGTTTCTGATAACCTCAATGGGAGATGGGGACTATTCCGAATCACTGCCCACCGAGGGTGAGACTGATGTTGGATCTCCCAATCACTTGCACAACAGAGCTTCCATCTTTCTTTTTCATATATTTTTCTGTTTTCTTCTAACATGTTGATAAGTTTTTAACGCATATACATACACACACGTTTGGGTAAACTATTAAAATGACTACTTGTATTTCATTTTTGTTCATTGTTAACTTGTTGTGTCTATATTTAAAAAAAATTAATCACTTACATTATTATTTTATAGTGTTTTGATCATTGTCGGTCGTCATTGTCAAACATTAAATAGTCTCGAACTTCACAAATCT